GCATTGCCATTGACAAGTAATTTTCACCCAAAGCCCTGAACATCTGGAATCAGAGTGTAGTGACCTTTGGGCTGTCTTAAGCATTCACTCAGTGTAATTCACCATCGTACTTGGGAATTGGGTACAGTATCTAGACTAGGTTGGGTGACTACACTGAGGCAGAATGAAAATGGTTTTGGACTAGGCATATTTATTTAGGATACTGTATGAACTGTAAATGCATCTGAGTGTTTATCTACTTTCCCTCATATGTTAATTTCCATATATTTGAATGTTTGGGTGGCTTTGGCAGTTGGTTTGGTTTTCCACTGTAACATTCCTTGATGTGTTACTCCTGGAGGTTTTCTGAGCCTCTGTGCGTGTGCAGAATTCATGTCCACCCACAGATTTTTTTTTCTCTGCAGAAAATACATTCTGACAAAGAGACACTGCAGTTACACCTTTTGCCCACCAGGGGCATCTTTAACACCAGAACAGAGGGCAGCCAGCTCACTGGCCATAGCAGTGAGCTACGGAGGAAGGAAGGAAGAGGAGGCTGCATTCCTCACAGCACCCTGCCCCTGGGGCCACGTCAGGAGGCACATATGGGGTGAGGGAGATAGAGAGAGCAGGGTACATGGGGTTGTTGGGGGGAGGTCCACAGACTGGGGTTCAGAAGGGCTAGTGGGGTGTCACAACCTGGGGTGGGGGCTGAATGGGAGTGGGGAGTGCAGGGACACATGGGGATGGGGGAGGGGTGCAGGGACACATGAGGACACAGGTGAATGTTCCTGACTGATTGGGAGAGGCTAAGGTCTGCATGGGGGAGGGTCCCCAACTCCCTAACAATCCCTCCCCTCCAAAAAAACAACTGTTCCATACTTCTCCCACACCCAACAACCCCCCCTGGTTCACTCCCAGGCTCCTTTCCAGAAATTACTTCCCTCTCCCTCAGCTCCTCTGTTACCCCTTCTCTCCCAAGCCTTTGCACTGCTTCTGAGGGGTGCAGGAAACTCTTTTTTGCATTGTAGTTTAAATGAAGTATTATTCAAAGTTCTGTATTAATATGCCTAGTACGGAATCTATTTGTCAAAAAAAATTCTTGAATCTTTTTTATCATCTGTATTGTTACAGACATACTTGTTGACAGGTATTTTGAAATAAATTACCAAAATAACTGAAACTGGCACGATCATATTGTGTTATTTTGACACATAACATATGCAGAATTTTGCAGAACTTTAAAATATTGTGCGCATAATTTAAATTTTTTGGGTGCAGAATTCCCTCAAGAGCATACAATGCGCAAGCTTCTGAAGAAACAGGGCAAATGTGGAACTTAGGAGCACCACAGTATTCCTGGCTCCCCTGCTGCTCTCTATGTTGTGGTGTGGTGTCCTTAGCTCCCACAACTCTCAGTGCCCTGCACAGCTTACTTACTTACTGCCTTACTTCGCAAGTCTCCCAGCTCCCATTAGAAACCACTTCCCTGCAGCACTTCTGAGCACCACTTGGCTTCTAGCTCTTCTTGTGTTGTGGAGCTTTGGAACATGCATAGTGATCTTCTCATTACCATCCCTTCCACAATGCTAAGTCAAACATGGTTTCCCGAATGCAAAACTGAGACTCTAGTTGCTATTGTTTAGAAACACATATCTTTGCAAAATAGCGTGGGGGCACTTTTCCAGTGGACATGGTCAAATGACTTACCCTGGAAACAGCCAGAATTTCCTAACTATATAAAAACGCCAATATCTACCCACATAAATAATAAATGACGTTTACAGAAATAAATGCACTATTTACTAACTTTACTAACTGAGCAAATAAATAAGTAAAATAAATAAAGTGAGGGGCTTCGAGACATGAAAGGTTATTTTTGGTGCAGTGATTATTCTTTCTTTCTCTAAGACTCAATGAGTGAAGATCTTAAAACAACATTATGGGAGAAAGGCTACAGTAAAAGAAAAAAATCAATAGGGCAATCAAACAGTTTTCTAAGATCCCAAGGCTATTGTGCTAACATACAAAGTGAAATTGCTTTTTAAAACATAACTCTATTTTAAGCCCTCTTTTTCAAGATTATCTGTGAAATATAAATGATAGTGTAAAGTGCGAGGTTCGCCTATGGGATATACATCTATATCTACACTTGTGGTACAATTAATAGATCTGACACTCAAATAAGGGATTCAGCATTAACAGTGACATTTTGAATGGGCAAACTCTGCTGTGAAGTTTCTTGGGTATAGTATGTTCAAGTGGAAGATGGAAAAATACACTTGGCTGCCTCTGGCCCAGGCACTTCTGATTATTTTCTTCATGGAACTGCCAAATGTTTAAATACATCAAGATAAATTTCATGCTGGGTTATCATTAAACCTTGGGTATGGTAGATAGAATACTGCTCAGTCTGCCAAGGCCTAAATGTGAGATGCAATGTGTGAAAAAGACCCAAAAATGAATAAAATTATTCATGCATATTCAAAATGCTGTGGGATTCATTCCTTTAATATAAATAACTCTGTTGATAACTTGAGCTTCATGATTCTTTTTTTTCCTGAAGTAAATCATATCAATACAAATTTGTTTGTAATTAATGCATGTAAATTTGGGAGTAAAAGGAGGGATGTCCATTAAATGAGGGACATTTGAGACATATGGCTATATAAAGCAGAAGTATGAATGCCATATGTTACAATTAGTTGGAGCCAAAATCTACTCTCAATTACACCACGTAAACCTGTAATAACTCAATTGACTTCAGTGTCAGCAACAGCAGAATCTCCGCCAAAGTGCAGCTCTCTGAAACATAATCCTGTAAAAACAGCATCACAGGGAGTCCATGTTTATTTTATCTTAGTGACTCCATCTCAGCAACAAGAGGCTGGGTGTTCTCCTTCTCTTGCACCACCACCAGTAATAGAGTTGTTCAGCAAATGGGAAAAAAATAAAATCATGACATTTCAATTCTCATTCCTTCCACATTTATTTTTTTGTTAAAATTGTCTCACCAGGTCTAAACAGCAATAAAAATGTAGCAAGCCAAATGATGCCCTCATTGACATCCGTCCAACACAACTATCTGAAAAGTATGGTTCCACCGGCACAGCACTGTACTTTATGGTAATCTAAACTGTAGGATGCTATAAGCAAAGGGGATGTTAAGGATCCAGATATTAATATTAATCCAACATGATATAATCAAAGCTTCCTAAGGTATTTAGAAGACTGTTTTATGTTCCGGAAAGTAATGACCCCAACCAAACCCAGCTGTATCTACCAGTTGAGGACTGAACAGTGACTGAGAATAACAGAGAACCTTGGAATCTGTGTCTTTGAGCTACTTGACTTCATCAAAGCAAGTGATTTACAGATTGCAATAATACAAGGGCATTCGATTTGGGGGAACTGAGAAATCTGATGAATAAGGTACATGGGAGGGAGTATTAAAAATCCACTATTATGGAAGAAGTCTAGGGAGTCTTAAAAGCCACTCTAACAAAAGCACAATATTATAAAATTATTATTATTATTTAATAGCACCTAAGATTGTACTAAGCAGTTCACGGTATGAAGGCAAACTTCCTCGTCCGAATTGCTTACAATCCAATCTCAGACATGACACAATGAAAGGAATGACAAAAGAGAAAAGGAGGGGGTTGAGGTGGAAAGACTGGCCTTGCAGCAGTATGATAATACAGTTACTCAGCAAAGGCTTGTGCACAGTATGGTGCAGCAAAATAATTAAGGGTAATTAAATGAATTAATAACAGAACAGTCTGTCTTTCCTCTGAAAAAGAGGAGTGCAAGAAATAGGAATGGGACAGTGGACTGTGCGACTGTCCAGAGATGTGAGGGTAAAACATGAATCTGACTGGAAGAGAGGAAGCAGTCAAACAAGAAATTCAGAGTCAGGCAGGGCTTGAAGAGAAAATATGTGGGCAGCGAAAGTCTAAATGAATTGATCCTGTGCCTGGGGAAGTCTGAACTGAAAAAAACAACTCAAATTGGCTGAGATAGGAACATTGTTATGCGAACTGAAAACTGGCCAAAAAGCCTGTCGACAAAGGCTAAAAGATACATGGCAATGGAGAGAGTTGTGGGGAGGCATCTAACAGAGTGGTAGGAGCAGTTTTATGTATCAGCATCATTAATGCCAACATGGCTCTTGCTCCAAGAAACCTGCATCACTTTTTAGTTCACTCCATCACTTCTCTCATGGTGTCCACAAGAAGTGAGCAAATAATAATGATTCTCTATAAAAAATGCAACAACAAAACGTAACCAAACCATCTAAAAGGGCACATGCCCAAATAACTACAGAATCCTGTTGCTGTAACCATTGTCTTTCCTTACTCTATTTCCTCTCCAATGTTTGTTTCCCCACCATCACTCACGCCCCTTTACGCCAGGAAAAGGGCTGGAGAAGAGTAAAAGGGTTCTAAAAGGCCTCGATCCAGCTGGGAGAAAATGTTTGTGGTGCGGAACTGAAGAAGACAGTTGGAGGCTGTCTCTCAAGGATCCTCTCACGAAGAGATTCTGGGCAATGCTACTGCCATACATAGGCATGGACAGGTTACCGCAAGATAGACGCTCCTCAGGGCTAAATTATGCCAAAGCCTGCTATGACCCCCGGAGCAATTCAGAAATCAGGCGGGCACAAGGGTGACTTATTGCCATATTAGCTCCTCCTCCTTCTCTTACAGCAGAGCACAGAATCTCACTCATGATGTCAAAAACTATGGCTGATCCTGCAACTGACTGTTCAGCTGGACACTCATTGATTTCAGTGGGGCTCCACTCAGATACAGCGGTTTGCCCGCACAGTCAACTGCAGGATTGGGGGCTTTAATTGTAAGCGCCTCAGGGCAGAAACCTCTCTGGTTGTCTTGTAGTGTCTAACACACTTCCAAGTGGTATAGAAATTGATTAATATAATATATAAAATAATAAATATAAACCACAGTTTCATATTCTCTGTCAAATGTATATAACGAAAGATACTGAGGTGTTCTTACTTTCTTCAGAAAGATCATTTTCTTCTGCTTCTCTCTCCATCTCTTTACACCATCCTTCCATCCTCTTCGTTTCAGTATGTAGCAACTTCATAAACCAAGACCCATCCCGTCGACATGGGGACATCCGACCAGTTTCTACTGTCTCAATGGCTGGCTCCAGCCAGGGTTCTGGCGGTGGAAGATTTGAGGTGTCAACCTGGGTCCTGTAATCTTCTCTGTAACTGAATAGTCCCTGTGTCCGTACAGTTCTTACTGCACCATACTGGGTAGGAGTGCTAGGCTCTGAATGCCTCTGGAATGATGAACCAAACTGAAGTCCCTTGTCCTCCATTGTTATGTGTCCTGGAAAGCCCTCCAGTTCCAGGTCAGCCTGTACAGCTGCTGTTACACTATTTGAACGTTTAAATCGTCCATGTCTTGGGCAAGGAGAAAAAAGAAAGAAAAACAGATATATAGAGAGGGAATAATGTGCTGGCAAAACAAATCTGATTTTCTTTCTGCATCTAATAGTAAAAAATATTTTTGCTGGCATACAGGATATTTTTCAATTAATCTTTGTCAAAGTCCACCCTACAACTGATTTAGTTACTTAACGTAAGAGAGTGAATGACAATGCAAAAAGACTATATATAGTCTATATGGTGTCATTATTGATCTGAACAAAGATATAAATGAAAATAATTTAAACCACCTTTGGAAGCAAATATTGATCTTTTCTCACATTACATTATATTGCACATCATTAATAAACAGAACTGGAAATAGCACCAAAGACCTGCAGTGCTGTATATACTGTTGAAATGAAGACTATCAAATAAATATATACAACTATTTCAGATAATAAGGGCCCTACTCAAAGACATTCTGAGTTAAGGCTGTCAAGAATTTTGTAATAAATGTAAAAAGTGGTAGCAGGCTGGTGTGGTTTTATGTTTGTTTGTGCTTAAACACAGCATAGAACTACCATGAAATGGTGAGTGTCTCATGATAATCTTATCTTGGATACTGAAATACTAGAATAAATTTATGTTCAATAGTTGTAACAGAGGATCAAAAGATTGTTCATGAAATATACAGGTCAGTTGTTCAAATTTAGCTCATATCAGTTGTAAGCAAAGGTAATTACTATCCCCAAAGGCTGTTTAATGGCTTCTGTGAAATGAGATAGTGGTCCCAGTCCAGTGCCAGGTGGACAAGTGTCTAAATAAAAAACCCACCACCACCAGAATTAGCACATTTGTCAGCAGTCTTAGCAGACTGGACAAGGATTGACTCACCATGGAAACTGACTCCTAGAAGTAGTCCCTGTAGGTCAGGGTTGAGATAGGCCCTGTCCTGCAAATGGACTGTATAGCATATAGATTCAGCCATGGGGATCCCTTTGCAGGGCTGGCGCTTCAGTGTGCTTGCACCTGTTCTGTGATTCCTCTCATTAATTAGGAGCACTAAGTTCACCATACAAACATTAACTTCCTCCAAATCAAAGAAAAAAACCCTGGAAACTCTGAGTAAATATGAAGGGAGAGCTAAAGCATCTCTTACAATATTAGCAGTTGGCCAACATACACGTATAAGCCTGGCCTTGTGAATTATTTATAGACAGCACCATCTACGTGTTTGTTCACAACAGTGTTTTGTCTTTTGAAAGATTACACTTTTATTTTGCATGAATTACCGTTTCTCATCTTCCACTTGCACTCCAACGGAATGGTATTCCCGTAGGCCTCTGCTCTCGGTATCTGAATCGGTTGCCGTTTCCACCTAATTCAACACAAAAGATACATCTGCAGAAGTGAACATTGACAATCCAACCTTATATCTACCTACCTTTATTTCAATTAATTATATATTTCCTTAATTACTTCAAAGAAACACCTAACCCAGTAAAATCATTTAAATAAGCATTCACTGTGGTATCATTGTTTTGGTGCTGTGTTTTATAAAACTGTGCATAACCACTTCTGCTCTGCTCTGTAATTCCCTTTCTTAAATGTATGCAGATGCAATTACTCAGTTTAATGCAGGCAGAAAGTAAGATTGGCCCGACTATTCTATTATTAGAACTAGGAACCCATAGGTTAGCCCCATTATATATTATTAGAATACAATCGCATTATATCTCAGGATTTACAAAATAAAATAAAGAAAAGAAAATAGCCCCATAAAAATTGCAAGTCATAAAAAGAAATGTTACAATGAATTGATTCTATTGGCAACTGTGCCAACAAATACAGAAATATTTAAGTGATAAAGAAGATACAGTATAATACCATAACTCACCTTTCTTAACAACATAATCTTAAGAATGCTATATCAACTAAGTCAGGAATTTTAAATAGTTATCCCCTCTGCAATACTCTTACAAAATGTATTCACAATAGTGTTTTCACCTTAATTGGCACTACACTTATATCAAAAATTACTGCAGGATTTTCTATAAACACACACACACAAGTGTTGCAGCATGAAAGTTATGTTGAATCAAAGGAGAGTCAAAGAAAAAATAATTAAAATAGAACATTTTTCTCTTTTGGAGGATATTTTGTTTGTTAAACAAAATGAACGGTAGTTACCCATAAGTATAGGTTTCAGAGTGGTAGCCGTGTTAGTCTGTATCCGCAAAAAGAACAGGAATACTTGTGGCACCTTAGAGACTAACAAATTTATTAGAGCATAAGCTTTCATGGTATAAGTATAAGTATAGTTAACATTACAAAAATATCTTTCCATAATATATTGAAAATATTTATTTATATATATATATATATAAATATATATATTTATATATATATTCCATTATATATTAGAAATAATTGTTAACTTAACATACAATGTTACTTTGAAAAGGGATTGTATAAAACTGTCAACTTTTTATTCACCAGGTCTCTTTCTGTGCATTCAGAGTCACATCTGCTGACTTAGTAACAAACATATACTTCTAGTAGCTTCTACTCCTGTTAGTTAACCATGTTGAGCCAACACAGCTAAGGCAGAGTAAACTGGATTCTATTCCTTCTAGTCCATCATCAACAGAATTATTCACTAAATTACAATTCAGAAGCCAATCAGTTATACCTGCATAAATATACTGAAGATAATGGTGTTGCACAGATCTCACTAGGAGAATCATCTGAAGATAAAGGTAAACTCATGGCAATTTAGCCAGATATTTAGCCTCCATGTGGATTGCCCAGTGCCTCAGAAACATCCGAGCAGATTTCCCTGTGTGTTCCATATGGGCTAAATCTTTCCACTAATGGAATGATTTGGGAACATCTCTATGGAGAAAGCCTTCCTCTTCCAAGGTGCCCTCCTATGGGTATTTCTGCAGGAGCTCTGGATGACTATAATTTGCCCAATATGTAACTGACACAGGAATTTATAGGAATATATATAGTTGATGTACAGTGAACTTTTATATGATTGAAAACACAGTTATCAGTAAAATTACAGTCCAGGTGTCAAAATGGCCTGGCACGCGTTCCTTCTAAACAGAAACTCTGCCAAATTATCCTCCCATCCAGCTTGCCAAAGCTGACACTAACTAAATGCTCTAATGATTGCTTTCACATTTTAATACCTTTCATTTGCTTGCTGTGCCCCGTAGCAGGAGGAGGATGCCAAATAAGGACTTTTGATGTAATTTGGAGAGCAAATATTGTAACACCTGACAAACAGAAAACAATCCTGCAAAATGGAGTCAAAGGCTGAAACAAGTAAAAGCGGGAAAACAACAATTTCATCTAACAATGGTGTGGGGGAGGGATGAACAATTCCTACGAAACACAGGTAGCGTAAGGTCACCTTCTGGGAAAGAAAGGGAGATAATTCCAATGTGATCAGATTGGCCAGGCTTTATTTAGAGTTGGTCGAGAATTTTTCAACTAAATGTTTCTTTGTAAAAAATAAAAAATGCTGATTAATCAAAACAGACTTTTTGTGGAAACGTATCCGTTTCGACAAAACCTTCGAGGAAGGTTTCTCAGGATGAAATTTCTGGTCAAAAACAGAGACCCACTCCAGAATAGCTAATAGCCCAGTGGTTGGGGCACTCCCCCGGGATGCAGAAACCCAGGTTCAAATCCCTCTCTATTTGATTTGAAGCAGGAACTTGACCATGAATCTCCCACATCCCAGGTGAGGGCCCTAGCTACTAGGCTCATGGCTATCCTGAGGTGGGTTTCCCTGTTTTTTTGTGAAATATTTTGAAAGGTCTTAGTTTCATCTCGATGCAGAACAAAAAACAAATGTAGAAACCTTGAAATATTTTGCAAAACAGAATTCTTGTCTTCCAGCCAGCCTTAGCTTAATTTACATAAATTTACATACAGACCAATGGTCCAACTAGCCCAATATCCTGTCTTCTGACAGTGGCTAGTGCCAGATGCTTCAGAGGGAATTAAAAGAACAGGGTAATTATCAAGTAATCTATCCCGTATCATCCAGTCCCAGCTTCTGGCAGTCAGAGGATTAGGGACACCCAGCGCATAGGACTGTGCCCTGATGATCTTGGCTAATAGCTATTGAGGTACCTATCCTCCACAAACTTATCTAGGTCTTTTTTTAACCCAGTTATACTTTTGGCCTTCATAACATCCCCTGACAAAGAGTTCCACACGTTGACTGTGCACTGTGTGAAGAGGTACTTCCTTATGTTTGTTTTAAACTTACTACCTATTAATTTCATTGGGTGATCCTGTTTCTTGTGTTGTGTGAAGGGGTAAATAACACTTCTTTAATTACTTTCTTCACACCATTCATGATTTTATAGACCTCTATCATATCCCCCTTTAGTTATCTCTTTTCTAAGCTTAACAGTCCCAGTCTTTTTAATCTCTCCTTGCATTTTTGTTGCCCTTCTCTTTACTTTTTCCAATTCTAATATATCTTTTTTGAGATGGGGCGACAAGAACTGCATGCAGTATTCAAGGTGTGGGCATACCAGAGATTTATATAGTAGCATTGTAATAATTTCTGTCTTATTTTCTATCCCTTTCCTAATGGTTTCTAACATTGCTAGCCTTTTTGACTGATGCACATTGAGCAGATGTTTTCAGAGAACTATCCACAATGACTCCAAGATCTCTTTCTTGCGTGGTAACAGCAAACTGAGACCCCGTCATTTCGTATGTATAGTTGGAATTGTGTTTTCTAATGTGCATTACTTTGCATTTATCAACATTGAATTTCATCTGACTTCTTTTTGCCCCGTTACCCAGTTTTGTGAGATCCCTTTGTTAACTCTTTGCAGTCTGCTTTGGACTTCACTATCTTGAGTAACTTTTTTGTATCATCTGCAAACTTTGCCATCTCACTGTTTACACACTTTTCCAGTTCATTTATGAATATGTTGAACAGCATGAATCCTAGTACAGATACTTGGGGGATCCCATTATTTACCACTTTCCATTGTGAAAACTGACCATTTGTTTCCTGTTTTTTAACCTGTTACTAATCAACAATAGGACCTTCCTTCTTATACAATGACTGCTTACTTTGCTTAAGAGTCTTTGGTGTGGGGCCTTGTCAAAGGCTTTCTGAAAGTCACAGTATACTATGTCAACTGGGGTCACCCTTCTCCACATGTTTGTTGACCTCCCTCAAAGAATTCTAATAGATTGGTGAGGCATGGTTTCCCTTTACAATATATCATGTTTATCTACATGTCTGGTAATCATGTTCTTTACTATAGTTTCAACGAATTTGTCTGGTACTGAAATTATTTGCCTGGTATTGAAGTTCAACTCAGCACAGGGGAAAAGGTAACATGTTTGGTTTTGTTGTGGCTCCCAAAACTTGAATGAATCTTACCAAAGTAGATTTGTTCTCTGTGATCCTTGAATATTTTATTATTCACTAGCATGCATTCCAAATAGTTTAATTTTTGAAACCCTGGCCATGCCATCAGCAAGGTGATATATGGTGAAAGACGGTCATAGAGCCCCAGCTCCACAAACTGACTTAGGTGTTGCAACACTGAGCATCACAACGCCTAACTTTTAGGCACCCAGAAAATCACTGGAACAATACTCGTATCCACAAAGCCCGAGTTAGGCACATACGCTCCCTACTTGATGAACTGGGAGAGACAGGTGCCTAAAATGAGATTCACAAAATCCAGCACACTATGTGGGGTGCCACCTAAACTAGGAAATGGGAGATGCAGAGGAGAGGATTGTGTGCTAAACTCCACCCTTTTTATGTAGTTAAAATCATAGAATCACAGAAATGTAGGGCTGGAAGGGACCTTGAGAATTATCTAGTCCATCCCCCTGTGCTGAGGCAGGACCAAGTATATCTAGACCATCCCTGACAAAAATGAGCTTGCAAGCTCCTCCAATGTGCTTGCAAACAAGGTTGGTGTCATCCAAAATTTTATAAGCATATGAGGACTTTCAGAAAGCCTTTGACAAGGTCCCTCACGACAGACTCTTAAGCAAAGTAAGCAGTCATGGGATAAGAGGGAAGGTCCTCTCATGGATCAATAACTCATTAAAAGGCAGGAAACAAAAGGTAGGAATAAATGGTAAATTTTCAGAGTGGGGAGAGGTAAATAGTGGTGTCCCCCAGGGATCTGTACTGGGACCAGTGCTGTTCATCCTATTCATAAATGATCTTGAAAAAAGGTAAACAATGAGATCGCAAAGTTTGCAGACAATACAAAATTACTCAAGATAGTTACGTTGAAAGCAGACTGAGAACAGTTACAAAGGAATCTCACAAAACTGAATAAATGCAGAGTATAAATTAGAGTATAGCTT